TCATGATCAGTGTATGTAAAATTCATAAACCAACAGTTTTATATGTGAAACCTCAAAATTTCTCATTAGATGACTTAAAAAGTTAGTCGAGTTTATAGCATTTACTGAACCACCATTACAGCATTACGTAATATTGGTAGTGAATATTAAGATCCTTTACAAATAATTATTCAAATAATTAAACGTACGTACGTGATCGTACTGGTTCTACGCGGCGTAACGCACTGCGCAGCTTCCTCATATTATATTTTGATTTATTGACTTACAAAATCGATATATGAACTTGAAGTCTTTTTTGATTGGTTACTTTAATATTGATTAATTTTGAGGAAAGTGGGAACATTGAACAAAATTATAACTTCAAACTACCTTATTAGAAATACTAATTAATAGAGCTATCATAATTAGGAAAATCTTCAGTAAGAATCTTCCTCTTCATCAGGATAATAACCGTCATCAGGATTATAACCATCATCAGGATTATAGCCATCATCAGGATTATAACCATCATCAGGATTATAACCATCATCAGGATTATAACCATCATCAGGGTTATAACCACCATCAGGGGTATAACCATCATCAGGGTTATAACCATCATCAGATGCAGGACCAATATCCACACATATATATAAACGACCACCAGAATTGAGTTTTTTAGAATCACTTGACTTTTGGAGAACGTGAAACGTATTGGACTCTAGCTTATTCATACTAATATAATAAGCACCAGGGTCTACATTTACTGCCCACAAATAATATCCCTTGTTACTGAACATTATATAACCAAGACTGGTACTTTTATTAGGTTCATCAATAGGCACCAAATAAATGTAATAATCTCCATTGTCGTGTGGAGGTGGATAAACTAGATCCCAGGTTATGTTTAAGACTTGACCTCTTACAATTTCACTTTGACATTGTATATTATAAACCTCTATAAAGAATGAAATACGTTAATAAGAAATTTAATTATTTTTTTTTTATAAATTATATAGTTTGATATAGGTGATTTTTTTTTAAACTTACGAGCAAAAGTAGACCCAAGAATTAATGAGATGAAGAAAGTTATAAATTTGAAAAGACGAATCATGTTAAT